AAAAATAAAAATAATAATAATAATTCTAAAGTGGTATATAATTTTACAATGGAAAAAGAGCCTTGAGGATGGTTCAGGACAACCCTGTCATTTTAGGGACAAAATACTGAACTCCATACCTGAAAAGGAATCCTTTTTGGACAAGGGTTCTCTAGATCTTGGTAGAGAGGTCAGGAGGGACAGATGGGGTTGCTGGGATCAGAGGACCTGACAAGACAAAAAAAGGTATTAGCTGCAAAATCTGGAGGGTCTTTATTTTTAACATCTTTGTTAGGTTTTAAAAAACAATAACTTTCACTTTTGTTTTTCTTTGAAAGAAGTGCACTCATGGGGCAAGTTATTTTAAAGATGTAAGCAAGGGTAAGGGGAGAGGGGATAGAGGAAGAGAGGAAGAAGGAGGAGGAGGAGGGAAAGGAAGAAGAGGAGGGGAGGAGGAGGAGAAGCAAGAGAGAGGTTGGCTACAACCCCAGCAATACACAAGAATGATAAAAACCCAAGTTACAATAGTCTTACCCCTAAGGGGTGATTAAAGGATATAAAGAGGAAGGAATTCATAGGGATTTTCAATTGCATTGCAATGTTTTATTTCTTTGGCTTAGTATTGGGTACTTGGCTGGTCTTTACCATTTTTCTTTAACAGTTGGCTAGTATGTCTGAGCTAATGCAGAATAAATGTTTTAAAGTAAAAAGAAAGGAAAAGAAGCAATTCAGAGAGTGTAGTTATTTTCTCTACTGCACGCAGCTAGGAATTAGTAAAGGAAGACTAGAGAATTGATTACAGAGTATTCTTCCTGAGTATTCCTAGATATTGCTTATCAAGGTAACCTTGAGACAGAAAGATGGTGATAGGCTATTTCAACATTTTTTTTGTCAAAGCATACTTAGACCATCTTAAGATTTAACAAACATAGCTAAGACGTTTCACTTTGAAGTGAAAATTTTTGCTGCCTACTCTGAAATAAATTTGAAGGAAAATAAATGCATTAAAAACATGAAATGGAACAAGTTATCACTTATGCTTATTCCTTTGCTTGTCCCTTGTAGCTGTGGAAATTAAAATATGCATATTTATATTTATTAAGTAATTTCACAAATCCTCAGTCATGGTAAGGCTTTCATGAGGAACAGTCTTCACTTAGTCTTATATGCTTACAGTTATTGTCTTTGCTGTTTTTCTCTTTCCACTACACTGAGTATAGGGCATCTGTTCCCTAACTCTTCCCACCTCCAGCCTTTATTTTTTCTTGTTAGGGTTGCCACATTCAAGAGTTCCATTATATAAACTCTGACAGGTATATGTAACTGAGGTCCTTCCTAAGGCGTAGAGCCCGGGAAAATATGCCTGCCTGCCTCCTTTCCCCCCACCTCGTCCCTAATCTTTCTTTTGGATGAATATGAATAGTGTGCTACAGATCCTCTGTACTCTTACCCTCTGATACACAGCTGGTGAATTGTTAGCCCTCAGCATGTAGCCTGACATGTATCAACACCCAGGGCTGTGGCCCCGCATATAGCTCTGTCCTAGCTGGGTGCAGAAAGCCCACACAATTCAGTGTGAAAAGTATGAAAAAAAGATTAAAATGCCTGAATTTAAAATATCCTAGTTCATTTGTTTTAGTGTCTTTCAGTTACTTTATATGTATATGGGAAATGTTATAGTCTATTAATCATTTAACTATAACTTCTAATTGACTAATTAGGACATTTTGCTACCTTCCACTCAGAAGAGAAAGGGAAACATCACAATAAATCTGCTCTTAGAGGTTTTTCTATTCATTAACAAATAAGCAAACACAACCACACGTTGTTTCATCTTCAGACTTCTGTGAAGTGATATTGTTCAACATGACAATCCAAAAATGAATTACATGTTAAAACATCAAAAAAGCTGGCTTTAGTGCCCACTTTAATTCAAATTAAAGAAAAGCTTTTAAAGAAAAGCAATATTTTATACTATTTTATTTAACAAACATATGAGCAAAATTAAAATTAGATGAGCCTACATTTAATCAAAAAAGCTATTTGGGGCCGGGGATTTAGCTCAGTGGTTCTGCCACCCGCCTCACAAGTGAAAGGACCTGATATCAATCCCCAGTTAAAAAAAAAAAAATCTTACTCCCTGAACATTTCATTCAGGTTTCATCATAGATTATTTATCCCTGAAGCACCATTGCAGACATGGTATTTAAACAATTTCATTCTATTAAAAACATGTATTGTATGAATAGGAAAAATATTTTAAAGTCGTACCATATTTTTTCCTTGCAGTTTCAAATATCCTGTTAATTGGGTAAAACACAGCAAGAGAGCTACATCCTTCATTACTGTGACCACTTCATTTTCTGGGATGAGTCCTGTACATTACTTTTTTGTATTCAGACATTTAGATAAATTATCTACTTTGGCAAGCTCAGTGAAGCATTATCAGCTATATATTCAGGCATATTCAACAATTCTGAAATTTCTCTAAGAATATATGAGCTTTGTGCTTGTGAAGAACCTTCTGCAAAAAAGAAAGAAAGAAAGAAAGAAAGAAAAGAACATTTTGTGGACTTTCCACTATTATACAAAGTACCACAGAATAATAATAATAATTATCTCCTTTCATTAAGCACACACTGAACTGCTTGCTCAAGTGCTTTTGTTAAGTAACATTCACTATTTGCTCTAATTTTTAACACAAAAACAGGTTTGCCATAATTACAGCCTTACATATTAAACTGATGCTTTAAAATAGATGCGGCATCTGGTGATATTCATATTACAGAACACAGAAGCAAGTAAAAATAAATGAACTGAAACACCTTTAAAAGATTGCAAATGAACATCTTTACCTCTAGCTTTTGAATTTAGTTTTAAGTTCCCTTGAGTTTATTCTTTGGTTTTTATAAGAGCCAACGATTAGCATTCAGATGTTGTTATGCTTCAGTTTTGTGACTAAATATTCTGCAGTAGCCTGAGTAATGCTATTTGGGCACGTATTTTAGTAATGATGCTGACTAGTTAGTAAATGAGCATGCTATCACTTGGACATAGCAAACTCACTAATTCCTCTCACCTGGAATGACTTCCTGTAGTTTCCTTTTTGCTCCAAAAAATGGCAAAATTTTTACAGCTGTCTTAGTTTAGTTTGTGTAGGAAATGAAGTAGGTATTTAACTCTACACAAGTTTGACTCCTCTTTGTGAATCATATGCTCAATTTGAAATAGATGTTAGTGTACGTGTTCATTTAAACATTTTTCTGCAAACAAAAAGCCTCTAATCTCTATACACACATATACAAATTACTATGTGTATACCAAATTTTTTGGTAAAAATTAGAAAGATTAAGCCGGGCGTGGTGGCACATGCCTGTAATCCCAGCACTCAGGAGGCTGAGGCAGGAGGATGGCTGTGAGTTCGAGACCAGCCTGGGCTACATAGAGAGCTCCAGGTCAGTCTCAACTACATAGTGAGACCCTGTCTCAAAAAACCCCCCAAAAAAGAAATATTATTCAGTTATAGACCTGAAATCTATGAGCAGGAATTGTGCTCTGACCCCTTGCCACTCCTCCATTCAGAGGCAACAGAGAGTAGATTCTCTGGCTTTGGACACTTAGGGATAAGAAAATAGCACAGGCCCAGGTTCCCCTGCAAAGCACAGCGAAAAGCTATAATTATACCTTTTAAAAATTTTGTTATTAGCATAAGAAATAAAATACAGGACCCCTGAGCTCAAGAGTTAATATGTTGGATTACTGTCAGAAGCAAATTCATGAACTGAATATACTGTTATTCACAGTTGTTAAATATTCCACAAAGTCACCATTCAGTTTGCTGTGCCTGGTATTATTGAAAACTTTTGGATGTTTTACAGGGATAGACTCAAGTATAATGCCTAGCAGTAGAGTGCTTGCCTAGCATGTGTAAGGCCCTGGGTTCAGCCCCCAGCACCAAAAGTGGAGGGAGAGAGAAAGAGAGACAGAGACAGAATAAATCCTAATGGTAAAGGGAAAGAAGAATCCAAAGAATATTGTCATTTTGTCTCTATATTAACAAGTGCTAAACTATTTAGCACATTTATATATCATATATGGCAAGAAGGCTTTCAGCATCGTCTCATGTGCTTCATTCATTCATTCAACTGCTACTTATTGAGCCAGACAATAATAACTACAGAACACACAAAAATTCTTTGTCTTTGTGGAGCTTACATTCCAACAGGGGGAGATGGTCTGTAAACAAAATAAGTAGGTATAATAAATGGAACATAAGATGATAAGTGTTGTGCAGAAAATAAAAACAATTAAGGAGATAAGAAAGTGTGTGTAGAAAAAGGCTGTAATATTAAATAGGTAGCCCAGGAAAGATCTTCATAAGGAGTGACATTTGAGCAAAGGCCTAAAGGAGATGAGAGGGCCAGCTACGGCAAAATCTGGTGAAAGTGTCATAGAGAAATGGTATAGCCACTTGTAAATGCCTCGAGATTGGGATAGTGGCTGGCATCTTAGAGCAGGTTAAAGTAGCCTGAGTAGAGTGAGAGTGATAGGGAAAACTTTTATAAAAAGCAAAAACCTATAGAGTGTTATAAAGTAAAATGGCTTCTGTTGTCTCTAACAGCAGTTTGTTTTGTTTAGCTTAGAACTAACAGGCACCGAAGGCACTAACTGCTGACTGAGGCATTTGTTCTTACCCTGAGATAACAGAGCACATCAAGACCTTGAGCTCCGAAGAGACTGGAGCCACATGATCGTAAAAGTGTCTAGATGAAAGAACCCATTGCTGACATTTGCTCCCCTGACCCTGAACACCCCCATTCCTATGGACTAGAAAAGATAACTAGGCGAATCTTAAAGGTAAACTCCCTAACTGCAAAGAATTGTTACATCTGAGTTGACAGTTAACTATCCTGTGATGGTGATTTGAACTATGAGAATGAAATGTAACCACCCAAATGATGTCAAGGCTATGAAACCCATTAAAAGGAGGAGTTGTAACCCAGTGCATCGTTGATCCAGGCATGGCTTATGTGCGATTGACCCTTATCGATGAGTAAATTTGTTACTTTGCTTCCATTCTTCTGCCTCTCTGTGTGTCACTTACTGATTCCTTCCATAATATTTGGTGTGTTGGCTGGGAAAGAAGGGGCTAACTGACACAGCCTGTGTTGGCCCTCTACCAGAGTCCCACAGGAGGGAGAGACTGTCCACCTCCTCAGAAGGGAAGAGGAGCACCCCCAGGATTTCCTGGGTTCCATTTCTAGGACTTGGAGGCCAGCTTGCCAGCAGCAGATAGCTCGAATCCAGAGCAGAGACAGCAGAAGGAAGGCAAGTGAGTGAAATCATGTCTGAATGGTGAGATCCACTGGGTTGCTCCCTAGTTTGTGTTGCTTTGCTTTGGTTCTTAATTGGACATTTGGGCAGATTACAGATTGGAGGCCTGATTACCCTCCTTTCTCTGCCATTTGCAGGGAGTTATATCCTCAATTTGGGCAAAATATAGAGTGCTGGCCTAATCACCCCCCACTCTTTGCCATTTGTGAGGGTTTTGTTTGTATATAATTTGTTATTGTATTGTTCTTTATTAGGGGACCAAGGGAGGGAATGTGTTAACTTCTTGTGTGACTGTGTGTGTGAAAGAGACATGGTTAGGAGAGTGAGTGGAATGAGCTACAAAAGCCATCAGTAGCCTCTTCTATGCACCAAAACAAAAGGGAGGGGGCACTTGCTCTTAAAAAGCCCTCCCAGCATTTTGGAGCTTGTGTGGGTCAGTCCTGCAAGTCTGTGGCCACACTTAGAAAGGACAAAATGGAGACTCTTGCAACAAGAAACTCACCATAGTTGGAGTGGTCCCGAAAGAGTTGGGAAGTTCACAGCCAGGCTAACAAGCAAATGAGGCCATCTTCTGGAATGGTACCCCACCTTTTGTTTGTCTTGCATCACTGGACAATTGAATATCTAGTGTTCATGGGGAATGCTAATACTATTCTTAAATGCATGACTCAGAATTTTGATAAAGGTTTTGTGGGGGACTATGGGATAAAATTGCAACCAAAGATGCTTAAGAAACTTTGTGAGTTATCGTGGCCTCAGCTAAGCCAGACTTGGCCACCAGAAAAAAACTCTAGACAAAAGAAAAGTTATCTCCCTTTGTTTTTAACTGACACTTTGACAACTTGGAGCCTTGTGCACTCTGTTTTGGGGCCTGAACAACCCAGCCTAGGAGCTGCTCAAACTTCTGCTCTGTGGCAATCAGCAGCTGGTGAGAACTGTTTAGTTTTGGTCTTAGAACAACTGCTTGCCAAATCTGCTGTTTTTCTGCACAGCAGACTTGCCTCTCTCAGAAAATGTGACATTGTTGCAGGCAAATCCCAGTGCTTCTCCTCTGGAGGAGATAGAGCTGCCTCCTCCTCTGCTTGAGTTGCTAAGATCACAGGTGTGGAGAAAGTGGGGGCAAAAACAGAATTGCTGGGCTTTATTGCACTGGAGGGTGCAGATAGGAAACAGTGGTCAGGCTCAGAGAGAATGGAACAGGGCTTGCCCTCAGATTAAAAAGAACTAAAATGAGAAAATAAATCTTTGATGGATTAAAAACAGGTAGGAAAGCTCTGAGAAGCATACAGCAAAATAGAGAAAAAACACTGCAGGCCTTAAGAGCCCCAAGGCCAGCACTGTGTTATCAGCCTGATGCTGCCTGCAAAGGTCTGGAATCCAAAACAAAGCCAGAGAAACTGCAACTGCTCTCTACCAGACATCAAGAGATTTTATAAAGGAAATGAAGTTACAAATTTTAACTATTTGATAAATGTATATTTGTTTCAACTTGAATTAAGTTTAATTGGTGTGCTTAAAACACTTCTTGTGTGTTGCAAATTCTTGAATTGTGATTATAGGGTTAACTTGCTCTTTTCTGTACTTTGTTGACAAACTCAAGGTTAATACTGTTCTTTTGGCAGCCAGTCAAATTTTAAGATGTAACAAATTGAGAACAGAAAAAAGGGACACTTTAATATTTTAACACCTGAAGTTTGTTACAGAAAGTTAATAGTAAATGAGACAGAAAAAAATATTAAGAAAGCTGTAAGTAAAGGAGATATACTTTTGACATGAAAGGGTTTTGTATGTTTGTCTTGTTAAAAAGAGGTAAAGAAAGATATGAAAGACCAGAAGGCCTAAATATGTAGAAAAGGTGTGAGGAAATAATTTAACAAAAAAAATGTATGTTTGCTTATTGGTTTCAAGTTTTCTATAAAAGGTTTACATTTACAGTCATGAAGAGTCATGAACAGCTTTCATTCCTTTTGATTCTAATTCTACAAGAGATCTCTGTTAATTGACCTGAAAAAGTTTTGACTAGTTGTAACTAAAAGAGATTTTACAATGCAATTGGCCAAATGCATTTGAGTGTACTCTAATTTCATAAATTGTCTTATATGTTTGTCTGTGTCTGTGTAACTGTCTGAAAAGTGTCCAATTATATATTTTTGATTGAAATGATGTCAAGTATACAAATAATTTGTTAATTTCTACAACCTGGTTTTATAAGTTAAAATTTTGTCAAGATAATTAAATAAACTCTTAGGTCTGGATAGACTCCTGTTAATGAAAAAGGACAGCTGCTCAGAAAATTTTATTCTGGTCTTTATTCATTAATAGGAGCACCAAAAGTTTTCATAGCCTTCTGAGAAGATAGATACAGCCCCAATAATCATAGCTAAATATGTTGTTATAAAATGTTTACATTGGTTATCATCAAAAGGTTGGATTCTAAATGATATTATGATATGTTTATAATGGTCATTTTCAAAATATGCTATGTTCTATGGGAAAACATAGAGCTATTAAGAGGTTTTATTGAAAAAGTGATTTTGATATCAAATTAGACTAGGGCATAAAGTTTCATACACATAATTATGATTATTATTGTTAATTTTCTGATGTATTAAATAAATATAAACTTGACAGGGTATTAAACTATTAATGCTGCTTCAAGAGGCGGGATATCAAGTTTCATGAAAAGGCTCAAATTTGTGTACAGCAAGTCAGATATTTAGGACAAGTTTCCAAAGGAATACACTGCTTGGGAGATAAAAGGACAAAAGCAGCTGAGAGAATTTTTGGGTGGCAGCAGGTTTTTACAGGATCTGGATTCCAGAGTTCACAGAAATGGCTAAAACTAACTCTTTCTGCTACCCCTGCATTGGGGATCCCAGATGTGACGCAGCCTTTTAATAAAAGAAATCATACTGCTTTAGGGGGGTTTACTCAAGGAGTAGGCCCATGGAATCATCCAGTAGCATATTTATCTAAAAATCTGGGTTAAGTTGCAAAGGGATGGCCCCCTTGTGTAGGAGCTCTGGAGGCTGCTGTTATGGTAATCAAGGAGGCTGACAGGTTGACTTTGGGGCAAGAACTCACTATTCAGGTGCCTGAAGCTGTTCTGGAGTTGCTAAACAATAGAGGATACCAGTAGCTCTCAAATAATAGAGTCACACAATATTAGGCCCTCATCTGTGAGAATTCCCACCTATATTTTGTTCCAGTTAAAACCTTGAATCCCGGTACTTTTTGCCCTCGGAGCCTGCCCCCCCAACTACTGCCTCAAGGTCACTGACAAGTTGTTCTCCAGTTGTCCAGAACTGCAGAAAGACCTGCTGCCTGAGGCTGATTTTGTCCTGTTCACAAATTGGAGCAGCTTCATGGAAAATGGGGTACACTATGCTGGCTATGCAGTGATGACTCAAGATGTAATGGTCCAAGTGGGACCCCTCCCTATTGTATGGTCAGCTCAGTGAGCAGAGCTATGCACACTCATACAGGCTCTCCAATGGGCAAAAGGAAAGAGGGAAAATGTTTATACAGATTCCTGCTTGCTACTTTGCATATCTATGGCACAATCTACAAAGAGTGTGGTCTTCTCCCAGCAGAGGGCAAACAGATTAAGAATAAACAGGAGACAATAACAAATGAACAGACATTTCTCAGACAAAGAAGTAAAAACAGCAAGAAAATATATGAAAAAATGTTCCACATCACTGGTCATTCGAGTGATGCAGATGAAAACAACACTGAGATTTCACCTCACCCCACAAAGAATGGCTGCTATCAAGAAATCACACAATAACAAATGTTGGCAGGGTTGTGGGGAAAAAGGAACCCTTCTCCATTGTTGGTGGGAGTGCAGACTGGTGCAACCACTATGGAAATCAATATGGAAATACCTCAAAGAACTAGGATTAGAGGTTCCATTTGACCCAGCTATCCCTCTACTGGGTATCTTTCCAAAAGAATTAAAAGAATCATATCACAGTGACATATGCACACCCATGTTTATAGCAGCACAGTTTGTAATAGATAAAACATGGAAAGAGCCCATTTGCCCATCAGTTGGAAACTGGATAAAGAAGATGTGGTTTTTCTATAAAATGGAATATTACTTATCCATAAAGAATGAGAAATTAGAGTCATTCCTAGGAAAATGGATACATTTTGAGGACATACGCCTAAGTAAAATAAATAAGTCACACATGTGTAAATACCGAATACTTTCTCTGGTGTGAAAAACTATAATAGTATGCAAGATCCTAATGGGATAATTAACAATGTGAAATAGGAAGAAAAGTGCTAAAGGTGTAGGGAAAGTGGGAAGGGGAGGGGAAAGGGAATAAGGGAAAAGAAAAAAATATGAGAAAATGAAAAAATTGAAATAAAGTGTTTGTAAATGGGGAGGGGAGGAGGGGTGAAGGGAGGGCATGGACAAGGGGGAAAAATGAGAACCAAGACCTGTCATGTAAAGGTACAAGATCCCAGTAATAATGAATGTAACTGTACTGTATACCTAGAATGTACCAATAAACTCAATAAAAAGAAAAATATAGAGCCAGGGATTTAGCTCAGTGGTTCAGTGGTCTGCCTTGCAAGTGCAAGGACCCAAGTTCAATCCCCAGCACCAAAAAAAAAAAAAAAGGAAAAAAATATATATAGTTGTTGGAGACAATGTGGGAAATTGACAAAGCATAATGCATTGCTCTGTACATCAAGAAGGAACAGATGCAATAGCCAAAGGCAATGCCCTGGCAGACACATAAGCCAAAAAGGCAAGTAAACAGAAACTTCAGATGATTATACCCATCCCTTGAAAAGGTTATAAGCATTTGTTGGTATATGTTTGCACTTACTCTGGATGGCCTGAGGCCCTCTCTATGAAAACAGAGAAGGCTTCATAGATATGCAAGATTTTATTAAAGGAGATAATTTTAAGGTTTGGTCTGCCTCTCTCCATAGGCAGTGACAATGGACCAACATTTGTAGCAGAGGTTGTACAAGATCTAG